TATATATATATATATAAAATGTGTGTGAAGATACGATGAAAAAGTTAACGAGCGACGCACGTATTCTTAGTTAGAGCGATAAAAAAAATCGTGAGAAGGATATAAGAGTCATCGGTTGGTAAAGATACTTAGCAGGCAAAGGGAAGTTTTAATGTCGGGTCGACAGCAGGATTTAGGTGCGGTAATAAGTTGAAGGGATGGTAAGAGAGAAGAAACTGACGCCAGAGGAAAGAAAAGCCGGAGAGAAGATCTGTAAAGTTTGTAAGAGGAGTGATAGGAGGACAGAGTAACGCATTTAATGAAAGAGTACGTTGGGCAACGAGAAGAGAGAAAAAAGGGAAGAGGTGTTGGGCACTGAGGACGAGTTAGATTGGACGGAACAAGTGATGAGAAAAAGAAGCAAAAAAACGGGAGAAAGTAAAGCGCGAGGAAAAGGAGGATATGCGGCGACGCGGTCAAATTTAAGAGATGTAGAAAGACAGTAGTGTGGAAGTAATTGAAATCGCAAGATTAATGCGCCGGGGACCCAACGTTTCTCGGGATGTTAATGAGAGAACATTAGATATAGTTCTTATCTTCGTTTTTGCCGAACGCGCTCGACGCGCGAAGATTAAAAATCTCGCGGAAACATCGTTCGTACACGTTAAACTGTCCGCAATGTCGCATGCTAAAAGCGTTATTCACGTATTATTAATGTTACCATTATGGAGAAGAGATAGCGTATTGTTAAAATGAAAATAGATATTAATTACGTAACGTAGAACTCAATAGAGAACACTCGGGCGCGCTGCTGTAGCCATAATTATTATTTCGATATTAGTCAACAAGACATTTAACTGGGCTAGTTTATACAGCTCTTGACCAAAATTGATTCGCATTTCGCACGTGAACTACAGCAGGAGATTAATTCATGTCCAAGATATTATCTCATCCTGTACACATAATATCCAAATATTCATGTCATCGCATATCCACTATCATAACCACCACCCGTTACTTGTATAAACAGGAAGAATAGACCTGCGCGAGAGATTCTGCAATCGATTACCAGCGAATACCGTTCCATTTTATACAATATAGCTTCAATTTTACGTCGAGAAATTTAGCGCAGGGAAATGTTATTTTTTATCAAAAAAAACATACCTCCATTTCTTTAAAAACTGATATTAGAATTATAAAAAAATGAAACGCGTTGTCACAAATAATTGGTACTCTCGAGTGAGCTACGTCCAGTTCGAACGACGACGGACAGAAAAATCCCGCTTCCGCAGGGTCAATCCAGCAATAAATCTCGCTTTTCGTTGTGTACATCGCGGAAACAGCGACGTAATACTGCCGGGAACTAGCCGATCCGCGAATCACGATTCGCCATTTACATCGAATCGAACTCGATGTCCGAGCAGGCTCCACTGCGTTCGTTCCACCTGCCTGTAGGATATCCAAATCCTGCCGGGGATGTGGTACGTCGTTCGATACCCCACACTCTCCTCCATTTCCTCCACCTTCTCCTCCATCCCCTCCCGGTCCGGGTCCTAGCAAGAAGAATCGATACATACCTGAAGTATCCCACGTATTTGTCCGCTCTTCGTCTCGACGATGCGCGAAGCGTAGCGGGTCACGGGCTGCGAGGAAGCCGCACGACTGTGGCCGGCCAAGATTAACAGGACGATCAGCGGCAGCAGTGCGAGTCCTACGCGCAGAGAGCAACGGATCGGCCTGATCAGGCACCACGTCGTGACCAGCGGCCGGCTCCGGGCCGCCGGCTGGCATGGCAGCGGCATGACAGCATTTGCTGGCGGCCACCTGCAGCGATGCCACCAGCATAACCGTACGGCGACCTTGGTCGTCGATGGATAGCCGAACCGGGTGCACCTCGTGAATCTCGACAGCGACGGCACTCCGAAATGAATTTCTCTTTTTTAACTTGTCCGCGATGAACGATGCAACCTCTCGCGAGCCACTCCTCCGTATTCCCTCATTACGGCCTGGCAGTCACTTTCCTTCCGCGCGTTTTATTCCGCTCTTAATTCCCTTTTCACAGGCGGCTTCAAGACCGGGGCTCTTCGACCAAAGTCCAAGTTAAATTGCTCTCAAAACATCTTGAATAAGAAAGTTGGGAGACGACCGGCCTCTGCGCCGCCGCCAACGTGGAGAGCGGACGGCTTTGAACGTTGAAAGGCAGGCTTCGGTCTGTAAGCAAGCAAGCGAGAATACTATGTAATGGAACGCTCGCAAGATTTAGTATTTTATTTTCTGATAACTGCAGTTTACGCACTAAAAAGACTCGGTGTATATATACACAATTATTTATATAATTACTTATTATTTTAACTGTCACTTTGAGTAAGTGTAAAGTGAATGATTTATGATAATTCGCACGCTTTGATTTCCTTTGCTTCTCTATTCTCTTCCATGAATTCTCATACTGTTGAAGTTGTAATATATGTAATATATGTAATTTAAAAACAAAATTCCAACAATTATCAATTTTAACGAACTTTAAATGTACAAGATATCACAGTACATGAGAAAAAATATTGTGCCATTAATTTAGCGCAATTTCAGCGACATTTCTCGGTATTTCTAGCAAAATTCTATACTTTACAGTCATTTTTAAACAGAGTTTTAATTGCAACTTTTTCAATTTTGATTTTTTAATATTATAAATGTGGAACTCTTTTATTTTTGTAAGTAAATGTTGAACTATGAAAAGCGCTACTGGAACTGTCATTTTTTTTTGTATTAATAAAATATCGTGCTTTCATATATTCCACTTTTGAGTATCCGTGAAATTAGTATGACATTCTATTAATATGAAAGAAATAGTGACAGTTCCAGTACGATTCTCTCTCGCTTTCTCTCTCTCTCTCTCTCTCTCTCTCTCTCTCTCTCTCTCTCTCTCTTCATAGTTCTTCTACAGTTCCTTATAAAAATAAAATGTTGTTACTTATTTTACTTTATTTTTAGTTATTTTTTTACAGATTTCAATTTATCTATTAAAATTCTCTCTCTCACAATCAAAAAATGAATTATACCTTAAAAGTCTAACATTATTGGCGAGGAATTAAGATTGGAATCTCATTACCGCAAAACTCAAGAATATCTTTCGCGATCAAGCCATTATTCGTAAAAATAGTCTTTTGTCCGCGCTCGTAATTACAACAATAAGCCTATCAATGCGAATGAATCGCACTAACACCGATGGGACTTGCTATTCATCATTTTTAAAAAATCGGTGATCCATTCGATACCGCTGTCCGGTTTTGCGGTGAATTCGCTTGGTCGGACGTGACACACTGATGAACGGACACGATTCGATCGATCTGCAGTTCCTAAATTTATGGAATTCGCCGGTCTAGTCGCGCGCGAATCTGCGGCGCACAGTACGATTAATGCGTTTAACCGAATCAATCACTTTATTAATTAATCCTACCATACGATCGGCGGAACGCTTTACGATCGACATTAAATAAATGGATTCCACTACATTGTCAAAATCGTGACCACAATCAAATCTGGGTTTGTCCTTAAACCTCAGATTAACTCGCATTAATCCATTATTAAATGTATGTTATCATATCTGGTAAATTCTGTAAATTTTCATCAGTTCGTTTGAATTTTTTGTTAAAGACATAGAAATATTTGTAATTACTTAAGATAGAAAATGGGTAAACACATGAAATCTTCATAGTTTTTCAATAGTTGCTAATCGTAATTCATGTAAGACAATTTTTCTGTAATAAAAAAATGTCTGATTTACAATTATGTCGGTTTCACAAATGGCCTTCCTCTAAATCTCGATCGACGCAAAGTCTTTGTCTGTGAATGCATAAGAACGCCTTCAAAAACATCAGAGCCGAGTAAACCGAATGCCGCGAATAGCCACATTATCTTAAGTCTCGAAAATGTGAAAATAAGTGAATGCCACAACAATGGTACATCAACGAGGTGGTCGATACAAGGGGACGATTGAGAGGAAGGGCTGCAAAAAGATGAAAAAGACAGCGAGGCACTGATTGCACCGAGAAACTTATCTCCTCGTAGGACATCTCACTGATCACCCTCCTTCCTTCTGGTTTCAATCCCTCGCATTTCTGAACTCTCTCTCAATTCTTTCGCCACTTTTCCCAGCTCCATGTTTCCATTTAGGGTTAACGGCGGCGCCGCTGGATCGCAAACTTTCTCGCTCGCTAACAATATCAGCGCCAATGGTTGATTTAAATTTTTAATCAGGACTACATCGTTCCCGATGGCGCAGTGATTGGCACTGTCCGTCCGTTCGAATCTTTCTCTCTCGGACGGGAATTTTCTTTCCATTCGCGAAATTCGTTATGGATTCAGAGCTGAGGAAACAAATTAATTAGAAATCGAATATGATTGAATTCGCCAAATCAATTTCTTTAGCTTGTTTTCTTTCTTCAATTAGACTACAAATACGAAGATACAATATGGACTTTCGTATTTGAAGATTGGCTATGCTCCTTTATTTCATTAACATATCCAGTTAAAATATAGACTTATGAGCAAGAAGAAAAATCATAGTGTTTTATTCATCTCATAGGATTTCATCATAATGTTTTAATGAATTTCCGTTTTAACTTCTCCTAAAGCGCACGTAAATTATTGCTTGTATTATTAAACTTTTAAGTAAATCCATTTACTCGACGCGAATGCATTTCCGTGTCGCCGTACATTACAACTCCGTACGTTATTACGTAATATGATTTATTTAACATAAATGGATGGCAACAATTCAAACGAGAAATATACGGGCTAGGTGTCTTTTGGCAGTTGCGTCATATCGCATTCTGCGATGGTGTATATTGATAACGCGTTTTCTCGAGACGAAAAATTGGCGACGATAATAGATACGGTGGCCCCGCCGGGGAATCTAAGTACTTACGATAAATTACAACTTTGATATTCAGAACTTTCCAAGTCGCGAAGAAATACGAGATAAAGTTTCTTGTTCCGGTTTATTTTTCGCAAATCGATGCGCCGCGCGCGAGTCTCCGCTTCATTATGATACCGCAATTTACGTCGCTTTTTCTTTCTCTCTCTCTCTCTCTCTCTCTCTCTCTCTCTCTCTCTCTCTTATTCCAACTATCGCGCTCGCGGACGAACATCCATTTTATTCTTTCATAAGAATTATCATCGCGAAACCGTAAGAGCGGCGCTTGCGAGGAGCGACACGAGTCAAAGGGAAGAGAGTTCGATCGCCATCAAACTCACGTGCGTTTGCTTAATCCATTATGCATCTTGCCTAACCGATTTAACTGCGGAGCGATATCGATCCTAATGAAACCTCAGCGTAAGAGCGGTGATCGATAATCGCGATTAGATCGGCTGAACGTGGGTCAATTCGGTTATCGCGCGAGCAACGCGCGAGACTTTCAGTCGTTCTGGAATGGAACACCGAAGGCTAATTTAATTCAAGCCTCAATTATCGGTCGTACCGATCCCCCAGGCGGCACTAACTTTCGCCCCTCGATGTGGCGCCGTTCCCAGAGGAGACGCCCTAGGAATAGGCGTGTAATATAACTGCATGAGTCTCTAGCCTTGTACTATATCTCTTTATCTTCGTGTATGACATTTCATCGTGAGAATCGAACGGGAAAAGAAATCGATTTCGCAACGAAACTACAGTTTTCGCATCTAACCAATTTTAGTTATTTTACAAATCAGTCGATCTAGTTATTTTATATCGAATATTATTTATCATTTATTACACTGAGAAAAAAATTTACTAAATCATAATAATATTTTTTCCACAGTTCTAAACACATTTAATTACAGTAAATGAATATTTACTTAATAAAAGAATGATAATTGAATAAAAAATAAATGATTCTTGTACCAAAGAAGTAAATATAAATATATGCTTTAATAAATATTTATCAAAATTTTATATATTTTTTCACTATATGTATTCGTTTAATAGCAAAAATATATTAAAAAATATATATTAATTAAATAATCGATTAAATTGCTTAAATATTAATCTTCGAAATTATCACGTAATATCCTGCTGCGTATTACAAAACATTACGAAACATTCGCGAAACAGATTGATCTCAGAATAAGCGTGGACAACAAAAGTTTTAACATTTTTTTCATTATTGAAGTAAGTCGAGTTCTATTATAAAGTACTCCGTTATTGCATCAACTCCCGATGTATTATTACGGATCTGGCGTTAAATTAAAGTCGACAACATTTACTATTCTAAGGATCTAAAAGGCAATTCCATTTTTCGAGATTCCTGTCAAGTTTCCCACTCTATAACAGCACCGGTAATTTGCACGAGCTCGGGGACTTCCTAAATTTCTCAAAGTAGTCTCTTTTGAAACGTTCCGCGGGATGGTGCAGCTAGGAGGACGTCTCCAAGATGCCGTCATTGTCTGTACCTCGACTCGGCACAGGGCGTTTGAGAATGACGAGCGAAAAAGAGGGAAGAAGAGGATGAAGTACAAAAGTCGACGGCGCGGCGCGGCGGAGGAAACGCATTCGCTCGTGGAAGAAAGAGAGTTCCCTGCCGTCTCTCCACCTGCCGATCATTTGACTTTATAATCGAGTCAGCCTCGTTCAATTACAATGGAATTTCTCGTGGAATTTGCCGCAAACAGTACGCGATTCAGTGCGACCCGATCGTGCACCCCGGTAAATATTCGCCCGGTCGGCACTCTGCACCGGATGCATAAGCCATGCGCGACGAATGATTTTCAAGCTCATGATTAATTCACGGATGGCAAGCGCTGTTAGTTCCGCAAAAGGCGGAAATGT